TCAAGGAATTCAATCTGTCCTTTGCTATTATTTGAGTAGGTGTTTCCAGTCTGTCACCTACCACTAGAAGTGGGCTCCCTGCAGTATCCTCACACATAAAGTAGTGCATGGTGCCCAGTGGGTGTTCATTTAGTTGAGTAAATGAATAAAGACTTTGTAAAATACTAATTTACATTTTATGGACTTTCACATATAGCTGTCTTTCACTTAATATTTGTCTTTATTTTTTCTTGTGGCAGCATGTAAGCCTAGGGAATATGCTGGAGTTGAGGTAAAGACAAGTGGTAGAATAAATATGTGTGTGTGTGTGTATATATATATATATATGTATATACATACATATTTTTAAAAAACTAAGTTTCTATCTTACTATTTATTAACTAGGTAATAAATAAAAGGCTAAGAAAACTAATAATGAAAAACAATCAGATAATGTACAAAATCACACTTGGAAAAAAATATCCTTTCAACAAACATTTGAGTTTATGTGCCATACTAAATAGTAACTATATATTGCAAACTATTGTCAAGACATGTCTATGCCTCACTGCCATTTAATAAATATTTATTAGCATACCCACTATGCTAAGCACTAGGGATACTTCAGTAAATAAGACAGAATCTATCTGTGTCCTTGATTCTAATGGAGGAAAAAAGAGAAGCAAAACCAAATAGAAATGACAATAAGGACCTAAACAAAGGTCCAGCAAATGGTAATAGGGGACTCCCCTGGGATAAAGTAGTGGAAGAAGGCTCTCTGAAGAAGTGACATTTATTTATATTAAGGCCTGGTGACAGAAAGGAGCCAGTGCCCCTGGGCAGGTCTAGGGAAAGAACATACCAGAACAGCAAGTGCAAAAGCCCTGAGGTGGGAGTAATGGTCAAAAAGCAGAAAGATGGCACAGTGGCTTGAATATAGTGAGAAGGGGGCAAGTGGCACAAGGTGAAGTGATAGAGCCATGGGGAAAAAGTTCAGATTTCCTTCCAAGTGCAATGGAAGCCAATTAAGGACTTTAAACAAGAAAGCAACATGGTCTGATCTGCATTTTAGCAAAATCATACTTGCAGTTGTATAAAGAATGGATGAAAAAGAACCAAGAGGAAGAAATAGGGAGACCAGCTTAGAGGCTATATAAATCAGTAAATATAGCCAAAAAATGATAGTGACTTTGACTACAACGCTAGAAGTGGAGATAGAAAAAAAAGAGTCAATTCCCCATTTTAGGGATGGGAGAACTGATTGCATGTGGGGGGATGAAGGAGAAGGAAGAACCAAGGAAGGACCTTAGGTTTCTGGGATGAGCAATTAGATGTGCTGCTGCCATTACTGAAATGGGAAGTACAAATCAGTGAGAGTTAGTCTCCATGTGCTCGTTCCTACAGGTTACCAAGGTATTTCAATTGCCAAATTCAGTGAATCCTTAGGCTGTCTTTTTTCATCTGATCATATAAATCACTTCATTTTCCTTAAAACTTCACTTTGGCCAGGCATGGTGGCTCATGCTTGTAATCCCAGCACTTTCGGAGTTAGAGACCAGTCTGGGCAACATAGCAAGGCCTCCATCTCCGCAAAAATTAAAAATTAAAAAAAATGGCTGGGGATGATGGTGCATGCCTATTAGTCCCAGATACTTGGAAGGAGTATTGCCTGAGCCCAGGAGTTGATGTTGCCTGTGAGACAGAGTGAGGCCTTATTAAAACACAACAAAACAAAACAAAAACAAGTTCATTCCCTCGTGGTTTCTAAAATGCCAAACTCTCTTGGTTTTTCTCTCACTCACCCAGCTGCTTTCTCAGGTTCCATAAACCACACAACTCTCCCTGTGATATGTCCTTCCATATAGATTCCTTTGATGATCTCATCCAAGCAATCCAATCTTTTAACTATTAGCCACACAAAATTTCCCAAATCTGAATTTCTAACCAGAACTTTCTCCTCACCTTCAGAACTGTCTATCCAAATGTCTTCTGTCCATCTCCATTCGGATGTTTCACCAGCATCTCAAACTCAACAAATTCACCAGCACCTCTACCATCTTCTTTCCCCCAATACCCCTATTCTCTCATCTGTCAAAAGCCTCACCTTCCAAAATTATGCCCAGCTCCCCAAGTTGAAAACCTTTGAATCATTTTATCCACCTCTTTCAAGCCCACATCAAATCAATTTTCCAGCTCTACCAAATTCACTTTCTTTCTTTTTTAACATAAACTCAACTTAATGGTATCAAATTTACTTTCTAACTAGCTCATGAATTGTCCTCTTCATAGCTAGGGGCTATAATTCAGGTCTTCATCATTCTCCCCTGGATTATGATAATAGCCTCCTGGTTTCTCTGGCTTTTAGCCTCTATAACCCATCCTTCACATCTCAATAGACAGAGAAATCCTTCATTGAATTTAAGTGTGGCAGACAAGGCCCTTTGTAAGTTGGTGCCGCTGGCTGGCTCTCCTGCCTCAACTCCCATCTCCCTATACACTCCAACTTCTCACCACACAGAACTACCAATAGGTTCATTCACAGCTCTGTGTATACTGTTTCCTCCCCCAATGCCTACTCAATTTAAACATCCCTTCCTACAGTATTGTCAACTTGGTCTGAGATGACCCTTCTTCAAGCTCCACAGAATACCTTTATCAAAATGTTTCTTTAGCCCCAGTGTGGTGGCAGGTGCCTGTAGTCTTAGCTACTTGGGAGGCTGAGGCAAGAGGATCCTTGAAGCCCAGGAGCTTAAAGTAAGCTACCATGATACCACTGAACTCCACGCTGGGTGACAGAGTGAGACAATCCTAGCACTCTGGAAGGCTAAGATGGGAAGATGCCTTGAGCTCAGGAGTTCCAGACCAGGCCCAGCAAAGCAAGATCCTGGCTCTACTTTAAAAGAGAAAAATCAGCCCAGCATGATAGCCAGAGCCTGTAGTCCCAGCTACTCCAAAGGCTGAGACAGGAGGGTTGCTTGAGCCCAGGAATTTGAGGTTGCTGTGAGGTAGGCTGATGCCATGCCACTTTAGCCTGTGGCAATAAAGTAAGACTGTTTCAATAAATGAATAAAAATAAAAAATTAACTTGAAAATAAAAAAATTGGCTGGGCATTGTGGTGGGCACCTGTAGTCCCAGCTACTTGGAAAGCTGAGGCAGGAGGATCCCTCGATCCCAGGAGTTTGAGAGTTTAGCCTGAGCAACACAGTGAGACCCCAGCTCAAATAGAAGAAGGAGGAGGAGGAGAAGAACTTCTTATAAAATATTTATTGCACTGTGTTTCTCCCATTCAATTGTAAATTATTTGAGGAAGAGGACTGTCCTTCCTAGAACAGTTTGGCATTTAACACATAAAAGGTACTTAGTAAATGTTTGCTAAATAACAGTCTGGCTCACACTTACACTTTCCTGTAAAACATGTGCAATATCTGTGACCAGGAAAAGGTGACTTGATGAGAAGATATATTTAATAATTTTCTAAAATTAACCAATAAAACTAGCTTCTAACTTTCACACCCCAGCATTTGTCTCCCTTACTGAAAAAGGATGTCCAAAACGTGTGTATGTAACTATTACTCTGTGATCTTTTCATTAATTTTTGGTTTTCTAATTCTCTTATAGCCTGAGTTTAATTAAGATCACCTTGCTTGTCTTCCATAGCAATGAATGACTTCTCTTGAATAATAGTTGTCTGAACACATATGATTTTGGATAAAACCTTGGTTTTAGGCTATTTTCTACTTGTGTGATTAAACACAAATACCACCAACAGCCAAAAAAACCCCAAAAAACAAAAGACCCACAAACCTTTTAACTTTTTTTCAGAAAAATCATTAATAGAGAATGGATTATGTCACATATAAAAAGGGTGTTTTCGTCTGTTAACCTCTGGAGGATGGGAGGACTTTTACATTTATATTTTATGGCCCCTGGAATCATTGGTTAAATGGAATTGTTGGTGATCCAACAGAGAACTTTACCTATTTTTCCTGGTTCCAAAGATTATCTTCAGAACTTTTCTATGAAAGAAATTACTGAGTAAACTCTGTGATGTAACCGACATTTTGAAAACAAAAGAAATGAAAATACCTACAGTGGCTTCTTAGCAGCTGACTCTCTTTATGGCCATTAGTTAACCAAATTCTCAGACTGCAATAAGTACCTTGCCTTGAACAGCAACACACGAAAAAAGTCCTGCGGCGGATACTAACCTCAGATGTTCACCAAACAACTCAAACAATTCACATAAATCGAGCTGGAGGTTCACTTTAAGCTGAGCTATGAAATTTGGTAAGAGATTTTTTTCGTTAAGAGAATTATGCTTTTCGGTGCTTTGTGTCTTGTTAAATTATGGTGGCTATGTCTGGAATTATTATGGATTTGATCAAATTCTTTTAAAGCCAGGTCATCTCACTGGTATTCCTAGGTCTTTGCATCCGAACCCAGAAGTAACAAACGTTACCACAGAGAAGAGGCAAATGAGGTTTAAAAATGGATTTGAGAGCAGTGGATATAGAACTTTCAAAGTAGAAACAAAATACTGGCTTAAAACAGAGAAACAAACCAACAAAGGCCCAACATATGAAAAACCTGCCATCGTCCACCACCTCCCCAAGGTGGAGAGCGCCAGAACCCAGGTTCCTGGTTCAGAATCCCAGAAAGGCCCGGGCGATACCGAGTCACCATGAGGTGTGGCAGGGGACGCTGCGCGGCGTGATGCAGCCGCCCGCCGGGCCACTCCCCGGGTCAGCCCCCTAGGAAAGAGCAAGGTAGGGAGCTCTCCCCTCCTTCCTCCTTTTCCACTTTCAAGGATCCAGGAAGGAGAATAAAGGCTCTGCGCCTCCCGGGCAGTCGCTGGGGCCCGCGCTCCCCACGGGCTGGGTCCTCTCCGCCCCACCGCGCGCAGGCCAGCGCCCACTCCCCACCTCAGCGCCCTAAGCACGCGCCAGGCCCGCGACCGCCGCGAGGGGCGTGTGCCGGGCCGGGAGCCCCCCGCCCGGGCCCCGGCCCCAGCATCACTCACAGAGCCCGAGCGCCGCCGCCAGCACAGACCACAGCCAGCGCTTGCGGTCTGAGGCTGCGATCGCTGCCCCGGCTCCGGTGGGCGCTGCCATCATTCTCCGGCTGCTGCCGCCTCTGCCGCCGCCACGCCTCGGCCCCCACTGAGGCCGGCTCGTCTAGGGTAGGGGGCTCTGAGCTCGCAGCCGCGCGAGCCCGGTAGCACCTCCACGCCGCGGTCCCCACTCCCGGCCCCAGCCGCCGCTCTCCAGCCCTCCACCCAGCCTCCGCCCTGTGCCCGCCCCAGCTGCTCGCTCATTGGCCTGCCCGACGCCTTTGAGGAATGTGATTGGAAAGATGCAGTGTCGATCATCCCTCCCGTCTGGCGGGGCCCCGCCTTCTCGGTCCCACCCGGGCGCTTTAGCCTGGCGCCTGAGGCCGGGTCCGGAGCGGTCCTGGGCGGCCACTGCCGAGCCCTCTGCCTGCCTGCGTGGCCGTCTGCCGGCCTGGGCCTCCTCTGCCTCATCTAGGGTCCAGTCTCTCAGTTCTCTTCATTGTGTCTCCTCCGCACGAGTCTTTGCCGGGTGCTGACCTCGCATCTGGCATCTGTTTCAGCTCTTCTTGATTTCTACGGGCCTCACCTAACGAAAGAGGAGAGGGAGAAGAGAGAGAGAGAGGGAGAGGGAGAGAAAAAGGGAGAGGGAGAGAGAGAGAATATGGAAGAGTTGTCCAGGTAGAACACGTGTCCCGTTGTCCTGTCCCCAAGGTCTGTCCTTTGCCTGGATTAGATAATATATGGGTTGCGATTTGAGAAATCTGCTACTTTAAACAGAAGTCTCCATCTTGTCCTAACCTCCCCTTAGAAACCCCTCTCTTGGCTCGAGAAGGGGTGGGAACTTGGAATCCTTCCTACCTAGAACACAAATGAATGTGTTTTCTTGTTTGTTTTACTTTTGCATGTCAATGTCCCTTTCTGTGTGTCAGTAAAAATTGGGATGAGGTTAAGCTCCTCACCCTGATTCTGAGGTGCCTTTGCTGACCCTGTTCGACTTGGCTACCTCGGCGCAGAACAGAGTCTGCCACATAGTGATTGCCCAGAAAAGTATTTGGGAGGATCCTTATGAAAATAGCCTGCAAAAGGAAAAAGTGGAGGGACACGGGCTCAAGAAAGAAGAGTATGAAGGAAGAAAAGGTAAGAATCGGGTGGGAAGCCAATGAAATGAGGAAGGGAGACAAATTTTAGACAATTAGGACCAGAGAGGAGGAAGAGTGTGATTAGAGAACCGAAAAGACAATCTCTCACTTCAATCTAGTGAATCTTATCAACACGAGAGACCCCAAAAGGCAACTACTCACTTCAGCGTTTTATCTAAAGTCAAACTTATCAACATCCTTAATGATGTCCTTGCTGTTTTTGTCTGCTGGCCTTGTAGTATGGTAAACTCATGATAATTACTTTAACACTAGTGAGAGAAGACTAAGAAAGCCTACCAGAAGGATTTTGCCCTATTTCTGTGGGCAAGATCCTTTGCCAGTGTGTCTAGAATGCCATGAGTAGGTTAGAAAGGATACCAATGCATTCACTGAACTGTGACTCTGAAGAAGTACCTAATCTACCAGTGTGGATCAACAAGTACTCAATTAAATTTTTGAAAATACTTAAAGGGAAGGGTGAGTAAAGGAGAAACCCAAAGCCAACAGGGAGGAACCGTAGTTCTCAGACACATTTGCTTGCTGTTACAAGCTTCTCTGCTGATGGTGACATACTCACCAAACCCATAAAACTCTTCCTAAAACCCCTAGCTCAGGAAGCATGGAGGAAAAATTCACAGAGGATATAACATTTGCAGTAGATTTTAAAGGATGGATACAAGTTTGCTATAAAGAAGCAGAAAAGACAAACTCAGAAACAGGAAGCATCTAACAGGTGTGAGAAACAGCAAGTAAATCCTGTGTAGTTTAGAACTCCGGGGCAGTGAGGGAAAGAGGGGAAGGAGAGAATGCTAGAAAAGTAGGCCATGGTCATATGTTGAAGAACCTGGAGTTGTCTTTATTCTGTGGAAAGTGATGAAAGGGGAGTGACAAATTTGGAGTTGTATTTTAAAAAGTAACCACTGCAATAGACAGGACAAGAATGAAGAAGGCACAAAATAAGGTGCTGGCAGTGGGAGTGGGGAAGACTAGGATTTGAGAGATTTCAGAAAAAGAATGACACTACTGGATATAAAGAGAAGAGTAATCAAGAGAAGAGTCTCTATTTTTAGCCTGTCTATTCTTGTCTTTAAAATTTGTTGCCAGAGGAAAACTGAAACACTGTGATCTATGGGATGGTGATAGCAAGGAACGTTGAGAATTTGACTTTTTTTTTTATTGAATGGTAACTATGTACATTAATGCACTTCTGGGGTACAGTGTGCGGTTTTCACACACAATCTGAAACACTTCCATCAAACTGGTTAACATAGCCTTCGTGTTATTTTCTTAGTTATTATTTTAAAACGTTCACATTCTGCTCTTAGAAAGATTCACTTATACCCTTGTAAGATAAACCTCAGAAGTGATCCCTCCAATCCCCCTCCCTCCACCCATTCCCCCTCCCCTCTCCCTCCCTCCTTCCCGTATTCTTAGGCTGTTATTAGGTTATAGCTTACATTTGTACATTTATACATTGGATACTTTTTCTTCCATTCTTGTGATACTTTGCTCAGAAGAACATTTTCCAGCTCCATCCATGTGAACATGAAGGACGTAAAGTCTCCATCTTTCTTTATGGCTGCATAGTATTCCATGGTGTACATATACCACAGTTTGTTAATCCATTTGTGGATTGATGGGCACTTGGGCTTCTTCCATGACCTTTTGGTTGTATTTTTGGGGTTGCAGCTCGCCTCAGGAAGGTTGAAGTGTGCTCTTCAATCTTCTCTCTTGGCTCTGCTCCAAACCATCAGCTAATTTGCTAAACTTCTGTCCTTTAAGCCTCCTTCTGGACAGGAGCTTCTGCAAAAAGCTGGCTGCAGTCTGCCATCTTGGCTCCCCCCCCCCCCCGAATTTGACCCTTAATGGATGACAATCAGATAGAGTCAAAGATGAATCCCAGGTCACCCTGAGAAAGTCTTGCCTGAAGTCTAATCAATTTTATTAACAATTCTGTACAAAAAAAAAATCTTAATCCAGGATAAGCATTTTTGCTGGAAAATTTTGAAAATCTCAGAATTAAAGTTCTAGTGTCTCCCTTCCCTGGGCACAGAGACACTAAACTGGTGGAACAAGGGTAATAGGGTCCTTAAGTGTTAATTCTTATGGGAGAAGGATATGTCGCCAGGCTTCTTTATTAGCTATACCAGGATACAATTGTCCTTAAGATTCTCTGTCTCCCTGTGCCCTGCAACCATCTATGTACTATGTCTGCTTTACAAGGACCTAATTCTAGGGAAGGATGTGCCCTGGACAGATGTCACATCTGACATGCCTTAGGTAGGGCACTCCTCCTACCAAGATAGAGATATTTCCCACTGTAAATTAGGCAATTGATATTCTGAGTTTTGTTACTATCAGTCTTCCTACATCATTGTTGTGAGGGGCAAAGATTAGACCTAACCTATAAAATAGAAGTAGAAGTAAAAATTTAAAAAAATAAGAAAGAAAATTAAAATCATAATACCTATTTCTGTGGGCAATTCATGTAAATTCATATGAGAAAAGAGAGCATAGAGACCTTTTAACCTGAGACTGAGGCATTCAGAAATCTGAAGTGGTTACATTATTTGTATTTTTAGGGAGAAATGCAGTGTAAACGCCTTAGGTGTCCAGGGAACATTTTTTTTCCTAGTTAGGTTTTGATGGCCTGGCATCTAGAACTTATTAATATTTTAAAGAGTATTTTTATCCTCCTTGCCTGATCCCTAAGAAGAACTGAAGGCTCAAGTTAGAGCAGTTAAAAAAAACAAACAACAACAACAACAAAAATAAACAACAAAAAAAAACAAAAGGCAGAGACAATGTTATAGCTTCAAAACCATAGGAAGAAAGTTCAGTGTCTGACATGTAGTACTTGCTAAATGTTCGTTGAAGAATGAGCAATGAATGAATGAATGAATGACATATGAAATAAAATAACCTCTATTTAGGTCTGCAGTCTACTTTGTCAAAGTACCATAATATGCATTGTTAAGGAATTTGGGATAAATTGCGGTTATTCAGAATTATCCATTGAGTGCCAGGTTTGCTATGGTAAGCCTCAATGGTAAGTATTTAAGGATTTAAAATATAGTTAAGAAACTATACTTTCTTTATCTAATTAAAGACATTGGGACAATTGGGCAACAGTTATACAGTTGGTTGCCAATTATACCCGCTGAATTCAGTGTTAGTGTAAATGTCTTGCCCCACAATAAAGGATCCTTTTCTGGGAAAGTTGGAGTTTGGGATTTATCCCAAAGCAAATAGGTTTTCCAGCTGAAGAGAACAGTTTGAGTAAAAACGAAGACAAGGGAATTCACAAGGCTAGAAAGGTGGGGCTTTGAAGACCAGAATAAAAAAAGATATCGACATGAAACCGACACTTTTATCATTATTGTAAAATGTGGGAAAGGACAATAGGGACATACAGAACTTGGTAAAGTTAAGAAGAGTGTCTGAAATCTGCTGCAGCGACATTACCACACACTCACTGCAATTTATTAGCCATGAAAGAAAAATAGTATTACGGTTTTCGAAACAAGAGTTCAATATTACATTGGTAATGAAAAGGTTACTTTCTTCCCTTACTGATTTTCAAAACGCAAAACATAAAAGAAAGAAACTCATAACTAAATGTCTGTAGAACCCAAACACAACCAGAGGACATGAACCTAGAATAGAAGCAGCCACTTGGGGGCGCGGGACTAAGTAGCTCAACATTCCTTTATGATGGCGGGAAGTAGCTTACTATGGCGGCTCGTTGGTCTAGGGGTATGATTCTCGCTTAGGGTGCGAGAGGTCCCGGGTTCAAATCCCGGACGAGCCCTTCTTTTAATGTAACTTTAAAGTGGGTCCCTTTCAGGATAGATGAGTAAATACAAATTACAGTGCAACGCAAAATTGAGACTCTTTGAATTCGGAGGACATTTTACATACACATATTATTAAAAGGCCTATGTGAAAATGTTAAAAGTTTGAAGAACTGTACTGCAGAAAAGTTGTCCCCACCTCCGCTTGGTCCAGGCTGGAGCACGTGTCGCGTGCAGCGTGGTTCAAACATACCACGCCAGTGCGCGTCCGCGGTCACAGCCGGGCTTGGGGTGTCTGCTG